TTGATGACTGTATGTTATCTTGTAACCCACACTGAGAATTTATGGTGAAGGGCAGTTAAGAAATATTATAAATGAACCAGCTCCAGCTCAGCCATTATCTGGCATCATGTTTACAGATAGCCAAAACAGGCTGAGTTTAAACGCCTAAACCACCTTTGATGTATTTTCAACTATTGGAAATGAAGACTACCCTTACAAACCCCTGTGCTTTAAGAAACAAAAAATGTTGAGTCAAATTCTGGTAGATCTCTGTTCTTCTCCATTCCAGATACTTCTCCAGTCCACACACATTTCACAGTAGAATTTCAAATTTCCCATAAGAGTATTTTTCAACAAAATCAGCAATATTCTTCACACATGGTTGTACTGATTTTCCAAGGCTCTATAAAAGTACAAAACAAATCCAACCATTCTTTTAGTTTGTTACCGATTCTTATTCTTAGAATTACATTTTAATAGTACAATTCTAATAGTAAGAAACAACAACAAACCAAATCTATATTATTTACCATCCTTATTCAATTCAATTGGTAATGGGTATTTTAGCACTGCCAGCTCCAGGCCTTCAATGACTCTCTGCAGCTTAGGAGCCTTTATGTACTCATGTCTTAAGGAGCTGCCATTATTACTAATAGTAGTTGTAGTACATTTATAGCACACCTTTGAGGAACTCCAGGTGGCATACATGGTTCTCTCACTATCTGTTTTATCCTCACAACAACCCTGTGAGGTAGGTTAGGCTAAGAAACAGTGACTGGCCCAAGGTCACCCAGTGAGTTTCATGGCTGAGTGGGGACTTGAACCATGGTCTCCCAGGTCCTAGTCTGATGCTCTAACTGCTACACCACACTTATACAAGTCTCAGGTCACTGGTACATCTGGCTCAGTACTGTCTACACAGCCCAGCTCTCCAGAATTTCAGACAGAAGCTTTTCCAAGCTGAACATGGAGATCTAGGAACTTCTGTATGTAAAGATGTGGTTGGCCATTGGGCTATAACCCAGTGATATGACCCAGTGGTTTAGTTCAATGGTAGAGCTCACTGGTAATGATGTTTTTTGTATTAGCCATGATTCTTAAAAAAGCAGCATCAGCATCAGTCCTGTGCATAAACACAAATAAATGAAGCCAGCAAAAGGAATAACAATCAAGAAGGGGATTGCAAATAGGAAGCTTATGAACAAAACCAACACACCGGGCCATGAAAGTATATACCCACCAGACTTCTGCTGTGCAAAGCTGAAAGATACACAGTTCTTTTCTCACAGAAGAAACCAAGTAACCAATTAAAAGCCTCGTGAAATCAGTGATGGTCTCTCGAGAATTTCATTTTGCCATAACTCAAAATTCAAACGTTCCACAGTATGGTCACAAAAGAGCAAATACTAAAATGACAACACACTGAACTACAAATTCAGCCTTTCATCATCCAACATCAGATCAAAATTACATCTCAGTGTAAATACAGAATTGATGTGGGGTGGGCAGGAGCGGAGGAATGAGCAACAACACTTCTTTGAACACAATCTTCTTAATTTTGGTTGAATTGTGTGTTGCTGAACTGTGCAGTTGTTTGAAACCAGGCAAAATATCCCCATCCATTTCCCTTTCAATATGTTTTCAGGCATATTGACCGATAGCCTAGAGGCTCTTCAAATCTTGCTGAGTTGGTGATGATTAAGTTTTAAACTGACTCCATTTGAATGTCTTCCCAACCTGAAGTCCTTCAATATCTGGTGATACACAAGGTAGATTCTTCAGATACCTAAAGAAATTCCTATGGCCCAGCCTGTTGTTGTTTTTTTAATTCTATAGTTATGAAAAATACAGTTGCCTATTTTAAAGTGCACACTTCCTTATCCTAGTTCTAATGATTTATCATCAAGAAAAAAGCATGAAGGCATTTTTAAAAATCCAAAATGTATTTGGGAGTGTCAAGAGAATTCTACATGGAGCTTACTGGTTTCTTTAAGATCCTGGTCCATCTGGAGCTGATACAATGCCTCAGTTGTCAGTTAGTGATGGGTGCCTCTGTGCTGCTATCCACCTTCCATACAACCAGACTTTGCCCTGATTCTTAAATACTAATGATCCTACCTTTGCTGGTCCATTTGTTGGTCTGCTGGAAATGATTATACAAATATGGTGCCTCGATTTTCAATGCAGCTATGATGCACATGTAAGTAAGCAAACATTTCCTCCCATGCTAACAAGTACTGGCCAAACCATGCAACTTCAGTGGGTAATGTATACAATGACAATGGATTGTATCCAGTGTTGCCTTTGCTTAGGCAGGCCAGGATCACTGGCGGAGGAAGATGGGTGCGGGGGGAGTGCACTGCCCCTGGCAGTGCGATCCCGGTGGGGCATCATTGCGGCTGCCCCTGCCCACACTGGGCACCACGCCCCTGGGATGCATGCCACGCCCCCGCCTTCCCTCCACCTCCAGGTGCCAGGATACACAATTTTTGCTAATTCTCCTTCTCACTTAAACCTCACATTGTCTCCCTCCCAATAGTTGCTCTGCACGTTCAGCGGACTGGCACAGAATGGGCAATAGCGCAGTGAGAAGTTCAGCAAAAATCTAGGGCCCCAAATGTGTGACCAGAAATGCTTCCTGCTAACAGAAGTGGTTTTAGGGCAGTGTGATCGGTTCAGCTGCACTGGGCACCACCCTACAGGTGTCACAACAATGCTGTAGAGCAGGCACGTCCAACAGGTAGATCACTGGACCCTTGTGATAGATCACTGGTAGATCACTGGCTCCCCTAAAAAAACGAGCCTTCCTTGTTCCTAAAAAAGCTCAACAACTTTGACCTGAACCCTAAAAAAGGGGGTAGATCACTGCCAGTTTTTAACTCTGTGAGCAGATCGTAGTCTCTTGGGAGTTTGCTACCCCTGCTGTAGAGCAGAGCATGAGAGACGGCGGGGGGGCACCGAATTTTAGTGTCACACAAGATACCACTGAAATGTGAGAGCCCAAAGTCCACCGCTGCTTCTAAGGCAGGCTTGGGGAACCTTTGGCCCTCCAGATGTTGCTGAACTACAGTTGCATCCCTGCCCATTAATCATGTTTGGTAGGGCTATTGGGAGTTGTACTTCTGCAGCAGCTAGAAGACCAAAGTTTCCTCAAGACAAAAAGCCTCCACTGGATGCACCCCTTTGTCCTCACATGTGAGACTTGAGTTTCCTCTTGAGCTTCTCAAGTTGTTTAAGCAGGTGTCTTCTCATTTCGTGTGTTGGGAAAGTGAAGGCAAAACATTTGTAATGGGAAGAGCATTCTGATCAGTATTGTGTATTATTACATTTGCATTGCAAACCTGATTGACTCTCATTTCAAAGAGTGAAAAAACAACCACCTTGGAGTTCTACATATTGCCCTATCTGCTTTACTTTCATTATATCCCATTTGAAAGTCTACACGTTTGCTTTCATTCATTCATACTCAGCATTGCTTGAAATTAAGCACAAACTTAAGGTTGTCAAGAGGTACACAACTGCACATTCCTGCATTGTGGGGGCTTGGGGGTCCCTTCCAACTCTACAATTCTATGATTCTATACACTGAGGCTGCAAAATCAGAGCTTAAAATTAATGCATAATCCCTGCATGCTGGTGAACATGCAGTAGTCCTCTTTCTGTTTGTTCCAAGCAGAGCTTGCACAGGCAGTTGCTGTATAATCTCTGAGCTCATTTCTCACTAGAAGAATTAGCACAAAAATCAGAGAGAGAGAGAGAGAGATTAGCTTGTCAGGGTTTCATTTTGTTTTGCCCTTTCCAGTAACCTGGACTGATTTTTTTCTCCTTTTTATTCAATTTTTTCCACATAAATTACACAAACACTTTAGAAAATGAGTACACAAAAATGAAACCATCTTATAAGTGCATAACTTAATAATAAAAAAGGGAACTGATGAATGCATTTCAAAACCTCACTGAAAATATTCTTTTCTGATAAAATGCCTGGCTCTGTGTATCATCCGATTTAAAATGGCAGTGATGGTTAGGTTAAAGTAAGTGAAAACTATATGCTGTAGATATCTTTTCTATATTCTTGGAGTTTGCTATAAGAAGTGCTTAAATTAATCACAAGCTTTTCCTCAAGGTGATGAAAAGAAAATTGTGAAATGCTGGTCAGGAAATGGGAAAAGAGGGCTTTTCCACCCATGGCAAAGCAGACTTCTCAACCCAAAAGTAAATAAAATATTGAACAACATCATAAACGATACCAAAATAATCCATCAAGTGAAACTGCATTACCCCTGCAAAAATGCCACAGATGCCTCAGAGTTATTAAACTATAAGTTGATCAATGCAGAGTCTGTGGTAGCCAGGAAAACTGATCACAACCTTCACACAATGGTTTGCAATGTAATGTTTACATTCAACAATAATTCCGGTTTCATTCCTTCAGCAGGGAGAAAATAAGGAAAAGGAGAGAAGCCCAAAGAATTCATCTCTGAAAATTAAAAAGAAAAAGAAAAGAGGGAGGTTCTTGTTCATCCGCAGAATCTTACTGTCTTTAGAGGCAAAAAAACAAAAACAAAACCCTAGCTGAAGATGCAGAGGCTGTTCAAAAACATTTCCAATTCAAACTGGTGTCATTATTTTGCTTACAAGTGTCAGTCTAAAATGTTTAAATGGGAGAACAAATCCTACATTGCCAGTAAAACTGAATTATATGAGTGGTTTCTCTTGGAAATATTTTTTTTAAAAAAAGAACAACAGTAAGGTTCTTTTCTCCCCAGAAAAGTCTTAAAATGACCCTTCATTAATTTTCATAATCGGGCCTTGCAATCTCAAAGAAGTAGCAAAAGTGATGCCCTTTATTGAAATACTGCCAACATTTTGCCCACTAAGAGAGTATTTGCTTGCATAGGGCACGAACTGGTTGCTGGTTCACCACTCCCTTTTCTGGGTCATAGATCTTCTCCCAGTGGCATTGGGTAAGGGCAGCCATTTTGGGACGCCACAGTCCATGCACAGGCAAAGTCAAGGCTTCACTCACAGGCCGAGGCTACAGAAGTTACGCTGGTAATCTTCGAGGAGTCATCTGACCATGGCTGGAGGTTCTGGAGGGCAAAGAGAGAGGAGTTGTGAACACAGATGGGGTCTGCTTGGAGGGGCTGGTTGATGGTTTTCTGAAAGGCCTCTTGCTGGAGCTGCATGAGGATGCGATTAGCTTGCTGCCTCTCTGCTTCCCGCTCCTCTGCAGTTTGTCGCCTGGGAGAAAGATGCAGACCGTATCATTTTTCAGTACTCTTGATTTATAAGATTTGCACCCTGCCTTTCCCCCCAAGTTGCTCAAGGGATCATGTGTGGTTCTTCCTGCCCCCACTTTATCCTCAGAACAACCCTGTGAGAGTCAGGATGAGAGTCTGTGCCTGGCCCAACGACACCCAGCAAGCTTCCTGGTCAAATGAGGATTTGAACTCAGGTCTTCCTGGCCTTAGTCTTACATCCTGAGGAAACCAATATGATGCCCTCCAGATGTTGTTGGACTACAATTCCCAAGCCTTTGGCTAATTAAAAACACCCTCCCATCAGATGTCAAGGAAATAAACAGCTACTTGACTTTTAGAAAACATCTGAAGGCAGCCCTGTTTAGGGAAGTTTTTAATGTTTGATGTATTTATCGTGGTTTTAATATTCTATTGGGAGCCACCCAGAGTGGGCAGGGTATAAGTAATAAATTATTATTATTATTATTATTATTATTATTATTATTATTAGATGGCCTTTTAAACTGTGAATGGGCAGTGGAGTGTTGTTTTTGTTTGTTGTTATGCTATTTTTTGTGTTTTTAAACTGCCTGCCCCAGATGAAGCAGGGATGATGGGAGATGTAGTTCCACAACAACTGGAGGGCACCCTGTTGCCTACCTCTGCTCTAACCACTATACCACACTGGCTCTCTCTGCTTCTGCTTCAGGCCACATCGCACTTGTTCAGATGAGCTCCAGAGGAGAGAGCGCAACAACCTTGCAATGCTATCCGCTGATTTTATCTCCACATTGCAGATTGGGTTGAGAAAATCATACTCAACAATGCCACAGCATACTTCCCTGTAATGCTTCAATTGCAGGTTAGAGGGCTGTGCTGGGAATGAGAGAGTGGCTTAGTACATTACCTGGGGAGTGAGGATCCTCTTCCAGAGCAAACAGAGCGCTCTCTCTCTCTCTCTCTCTCTCTCACACACACACACACACACACACACACCGAGCTCAAACCCCAAAAGATTTTTCAATGTCAGCTTTGGCCTCCATGAAAGCATATTTGGGGTGACAGTTCTGTAGAATAAAATAAGCCCTGGCTGGTCTTGAAGAGAATCATCACTCCCCCAGGTTTTGTAGTAAGACACTCTCTCATTCGCAACCCAGCCCCCAAACCTGCAATCACAGTGAAGTACACATGGAGGAAATAATGGCTACCCTGATGCAACCATCTGATAAATGTGACTTCCTGATAGCATAGCAATATGTATGAGCACAACAATCGTTTTCTTAAACTGCCAAGCTTCTCTAAATCAACATTGGGGAAACTACTCTTGTCAGCTTGGTCATATCAGAAAAGGGTTTTTGTCTTCAGTGGAGATGGTACGCATCTCCTTCACATAAAGGCTTCCTTTACAAAAAATGAAATCTTGTCCAGGTGAAAATAACAGAAAGGAACACAAACTTTGCCCCCCCTCCTGCCCCCCAAAAGTGCCAGCGGACAGTTGTTGTTTAGTCGTTTAGTCGTGTCTGACTCTCTGTGACCCAATGGACCAGAGCACGCCAGGCACTCCAGTGGACAGTACAGGATGCCAAAAAGAAATCTGAGCAACAATCTGACCAAAAAGAAATCTGAGCAAAAATAGTAAGAATGCCAACAATAAGTTCTATAACTATTGTTATGACTTTGTGGGTGATAGACACTTCTAAATTCCTGGACCCAGTAAGTGTTAGAATTTAATTAATCTCCCTGAACCTATGGATTCCACAAAGATTAAAGTATAAGCCTTTCTATACTTTTTATATGGGACTTTTTAGTTTAATGAAAAGGTAAAAGGTGACATGATAGAAGTTTTTAAAATTATGCATAGCAAGGAGACAGTGGATAGAGAAAAGTTTTTATCCCTCTCCCATAACACTAGAACTCAGGGACGTCCGAAGAAGTTGAGTGTTGGAAGATTCAGGACAGAATCCTCTGAACTAGAGGAGAGTTGGCAAAAGGTCCCATAGCCTGTTGGCATCTATGAATGAATATGAAGTATTTACACCCAGTGCATATTCCTCTCCCATTTAAGTAATGGTGAGGGGGCAGGATACAAAGTTGAATCCATATTAATACCCTGATCTCAATGATAATAATAATAATAATAATAATAATAATAATAATAATTCAATGGGATTTAATCAGAAGTTCCAGAAAGTTGATTAGGACTTCCAAGTTAAGAGTCCATAATATGGATAGGAAAGAACAGAATGCCTATAAAGAAACCTAAAACTAAAAAACAGTGAGTTGTTCTCTCATGTGCCAAGTGTGTGCATAGGAAATCTAAACAACTCATTTGCAATGTAAAGTTCCCATAATGCTTCTGTCTGAAGGCGTCCCATGCAAATGGATGTATCGCTTAGCACACATTAGCTGAAGGAGCATGGCGGGGTTGCGCTTTAGAATGAGACTGATGTCACTTATGACTGGACGGAATGTAGATGAGCTTGGGTCATTAGGGCAATGTCCTGGATGACACTTGGAAAGTTTCCCAAACTATTTATACACCCCCTTTAAATAATTTTACATGATGAAAGTGAAAGATATGCCTGTACTAAGCTATTACTGTTGAATAGGCAGGAGGGTTCTTTTAATGTCCCTAGTGAACACAGTCCAACAGATCTGTTGTGGCATAATCACAGTTTCATAAACCATTTGCTGGCTTCATCAGTTACTTGAGGTATTGTGAAAGTTCATGGCACAATGAGTCTAAAGAGTAGCACAGCACATCCCTGTTCAGAGAGTCATGAGAATTTACTGAGAATTCAAACAGATAGTGGGCCTGATCATAATGATTGTAGGCAACAATGGAAAAGAATGATGAAGACACAAAGAAGGAGAGAAAGGGGCAAAGAAGAAAAGATGGAGGAAGAAGAGGAAGAAACGTTAATGGAGAATGGTTTGGGTTTTTTGGGTTTTTTGTTTGTTTTTTGTTTGTTTTGTTAGCGAGAGAGAGAGAGAGAACAGATTGGACAGATTATAAAGAATCTCTCACCTCCCATCTCGTCCACAAAGTCTAAACAAGGCCTGGTGCGGTGAACATAGGAAGCTCCTTTTCACTAACCCAGACCACCGGTCCGTCCAGCTAACACAATCTTGTCTCCTGATAGTGGTTCTCCAGGTTTTCAGAGGGGGATCTCTCCCAGGCAGCCCTACCTGGAGATACCAGGATTTGATCCTGGGACCTTCTGCATGCAAAGCAGATACTTTGCCACTGAGCTACAAGTTCTTGAAGACTTTCAACAGAGCTTCTCTCCGGTGAAAGAGTGAGTCAGATGTTTCTCTGTGGCATTATTTCCAATTTCCTTCTCTCTTTTACAGCAATCGCAAATCCTTTGCCTAAATTTTGCTTTAAGAAGTGGGTTCTGGATTTTTTAAAATGATATCTGCTTCATCAGTTGTGATACCAGATTAATAAGCCAATTAAAAACTATTAAATATTATGTGCTTAGACTACACTGAAATCAATTCCCAGGCCTACAGTATACAGTATATGCTTTCAGGACAGACCCAGCTTTGCTGTATCTCTTCTTGATCTTGCCAAGTTATTTTCTCAATAGAAATTGGTCCAGTAATAATGCTTAGGCACTGCCTCTTTTATGCATAAAGGTTTCTGCCCAATATCTACACTATGACACCAGGCTTGCAAAAGGTGAGAGGGGAAACTGAGGCATAGACTTGCTGAGCTTTCCCCACATGATGCAGAAGTGGGCCAACTATTCAGGCCCACTAATCTGGGGTTCACTGTGACACATTTTGACCACATTCCTTTACATTTTAGATCAGCAGGATGGCAAATGAGGACATGCCAGGCTGACACCCATTGCTCATTCACTCTCTTGCATGACCCAAAGAGACTCTCCCATCTTTTTATCAAGCCAATCTAATCAGGTATAGGAGGTTACCTGACTGATTCTACTATCTATCAACTCCCTCCTCTTCCCTTTCACTTGGTAATAAATTGTTTCAAAACTCTGTTTATATTGAAACTATAGAAGATTCCTTTTTATTATCTTTATTAGTATTGATCTCCTTACAGTGCTTCAAGTTCAAAGTCCATTACAGTTTTGGTAATAATATTAAACAGTTACTGACTGCAATGATTCCAGCAGCCCTAGAATATTTATAGATAGCTACTACTACTAAAAGAGTGAGAGACAGAGAGCAGGGAAGTGAAAGTGACGAATCACGGTAGGTATTTTAGCTTCTCGGAAACACAAGAAAATGACCACTTCTTATCTGAAAACCTAAACTGGTGTCAAGAAAATGAGGATGTGAGGAAAGAGGCAGTGTCCACACAAATGCATTTAAGTGGTTGCTATTTTCATGTGTGCATTTGTGCACCTTTGTCCACACATGGTATGAACACTTTCAATGTTATGCCTTTGAATTCTACCTTAATTTCCCCCCATCAACACTAGTGGGTGACCTAGGAGCCAACTCCTAGGGGCCAAGGTCCCTTCAGACCCCCCAATAAAATATTTGAGGGGCCTGCCCCCCCCCATTGATAGGCATTCCCATGCAAAGGGTGCACGGCGTCTTGTGATCAATTATGTGGGGCGCGTAAGCCCTGTCCTCAGTTAATACTTCCCTGCCCAGCATAGGTTCTGGTTCCATGTGGATGAAATACATCTAAGTATTCCATTTACCTGTGCACGCACACATTTTCACTTATTTATTTATTTATTATTGAAATACAAGTTTTTTCATCTACCAGATTTGCTCAAAATGCAATAATAATAATAATAATAATAATAATAATAATAATAATAATAATAATTCCAAGCCAGAATATGTGAGAGCCATTGTGGGCATGCATAAAAGTATTTGTTTACATGTGCATGTTTCCTCTTTCCTTTTTTAAAAAAATATTATTATTATTGAAACACTTTTTAATATACCAGATTTGCACAAAAAGGTGTGTGTGTTTTTTAAATAACAATATGTGTGTTGCTCCATGCCAAGCAAGGATTTTGAGTTGCTTGCATGAAAGGCCCACTTCCTTTCCCCCCTTTTCCTTCCCTGCCTCCTTTTTTTTTAATACAGATGTTTTCTGCAAGAGCAGTTCTGCACAAAAGAGCTGTTTCAGAAACAAAAACACCAGGAACATGCCTTCAGCAACAACAGGTGTAAAAAGGCAAACTACATCCCTTTCTTTGGACTGATGGAAACAAAATGGAAAGGGGGGGTTAGTGATAGACACCACGGAGGGAAACCCCACCACACATGTAAAAAACAACAACCCACAACCCACCCACCTAATAAGCTTCGGTGAGTTCAGTTGGGTGAAATGTATTTTCTTCCTTTATTGAATTATCCATTGGTGAAGAAAATCCAAATTTAACGGGATAGGGGGGAATGCAAGCTGCCAGTTAGATGACGACATAGAGATACAAGCAGCTTCAAATCCATATTACGTATACTCCAGGCTGGAGGCGCCCAAAGAGGTAACCTGCATCCCAGACTCCTTTTGGTACAGTATATTGTTGTTGTTGTTGATGATGATGATCAGATGAAAGTTGCCATGATTTATGATTAGTACGTATACAGCATTTTTAATGCAGCCTGATCCTAAAATATCCCTTCTCCCTCCTCTCTCTCCTCCCTTCTCCAGACCACGTATTGTCTATAACCGTAAAGTCTCACTCTGAAAGTCTCACTTATTCAAGTGAATAAGACTTGAAAACAGAGACTTTAGATGGATTATTGTTACCCAATAAAAATCTGTTAATATATATATATATTTTAAGTAAGTTTCACTGAGTTCCAAGACACTTTCTGGAGTCACTCAAGAACCGCTCTTAAACGTACAGTAAATAGCAACGCGCACAAACCAACCACAGCAGAGTGCATGCTTAGCTGCTGCTGATTTCGATGGGAAGAGGGTCTGCTTTCGATGGGAAGAGAGGGCACTTGCACAACTCCATCTCGCTGACTGCACTGGGCCCTGAACGCTTCTTAACTTCGGCCTCCAAATAACTATTTATCCACCGTCTAATAGCCACCTGCTCGCTCCTGACATAAAACTTTAAAACGTGCCATTGAAGGAACGCGCGGGCAAGGAGGAATAATTTCCCATGAGTCATCTCAGGCTCCTCTTTAATAACACATTCAGGGACCCACTTCGCGGAAGACCTGCCCAACTAAAAAACGAAACAAAAACGGGTGCTTGTCTTGTAATTACCGTTTTGCTTTTAATTTAGCTGTGCTGCTGTCCTGGCCCATCTGGCGAAGGCAAAGCAGCGAAGGAGCTCTGAGCTCATTTGAAGACACACCGGTTAGAACAAAAATTAAAGTCAGGCAACTTACTTTCTAGACCTGCACAACTAAGATAAAAGCCAAAGAAGTAAATATTGGCGCTTGGCACTCCTCGCTGATTTCGGTGGGCATATGTACACATGACGGAAAGGGTCTGGAAAGGGTCAGGATCGGGCTCTCTGCGCGCGCACCTTTCGCACCCACGCCTGGAAGAGAGGTCTAAAGGAGTTTTACAGCCTCGCTCCGCTTCAGGAAAGAACTGCATGAATAATGCACTCGCTTTCTTTCCACCACAAATTCACTCCTGATGCATATTTAATATTGTTTTGACTTCGGAGAGAATTGCAACCCTGCTTCCTCGCTTTGATAATTAGTGAAAAACAGATTATTAATTTCAGCGCGGGGCATTTTTCTCAGTTAGCATCACTTGGCGCGGGCAAAAAGGAGTAATTTGTCAGAAAGAGAGAAGCGCTGTCCGGGCTTCTGGAAGGAAGGAAGGAAGGAAGACGGGGGGGGGGGGGGTGAGGGAGAGATGGAAGAAGAAGCAAGAGCCACGCGTCCCAGCCCAATTTGTTTCAAGATTGCAAACGGAAAGCGAGCAGCTTAGTTACAGCTTCGCCACAGAACGTCCAGCGCCTTAATTGCAAATATGCAGAGAAGCAAACCTTCCTAGCACCGAGATTAAGTGTCTCGAGGGAGGGATTCCCGCCCAGGCCGCGCTGGGACCGGTGAAAATGCAGCAAAGGCCGTCTTCCACCACCACCCACCCCAATCTGGGGAACATGACTCACGGCAGCTAAGTCCCAGAGACGTCTACGGCTGTTTAAAGGAGTCACGACAAAGTTCCATCGCTGCCATTAAGCTAAACACTATAAAACCTAAACACACTTTATTTGGGGGTAAGTCCCGTTCAGTGGACTTGGCTAGGTTCGTCCTGGAAGCCTATGCACGCTTCCTTACGAGTAAACCCGAAGTGGGCCTTGCCTTCGATGCAGAAGATCAGGTTGCACCTTGGTTTGGAGTCAATCCATTAATAGCCCAGTCCGCTGTCAAGCTTCTAATAGCTTAATCAATTGCCTGACCCGGTAAAATATTACAGCGCCACAATTCAAAGGTAGTTGTGATACTACCTTTATGGAATGCCCTCCCCAGGGAGGTCCATCCGGCTCCAGCACTTCGGCCCTTCGGGCAGCAAGTTAAAAGCAGGCTCTTTGATTTGATGCTTCCTCGCTTTCTGTTGACTGGCTCTGATCCTGTGGCTCCGTTTGTTTATTTGTGGGTTGATAGGATTTCTCACCCACCCTTCACCATAGGGTTTCAGAGTGGGTTACAACAATATAAGCGCAGAATATAAGAACCAGTTAAAAATATTGCCAATCAGAAGTATTGTCTGGGTCCTTAAAAAAATATGTATTTCGAGCCTCAAAGGCCAAGGTAACAATATGCATCTTCAGCATTCTTGGGAAGCTGTAGAATGAAGGGGCCATGTGCACCTTCGTGGAGAGGGAGCGCCATAACTTAGGGGCTTCCTGCCACAGAGAGTTCCCTCTCCCACCACCCTCCAGACTTCCAAGCGGATGGAACTACCAAGGCCCCCCAATTTTCAATTTGTAGTATGGTTTTAGAGCTGTCGCTTTCCCGATTTTGCAACTTGAATCGCAGCTTAATGCATGTCACCAATCTTGAACTGATTTGTATTTTGTGCTTTGGTTTAAGCTACTTCCGTTTATGTCTTTGAGACAAGCAGGATGCGTATTTTTAAATAAATAGAAATACATTCATAAAGTTGGAGCCTTCAGTGTGAAATAACAGCTACAGCAAACCTCATATAGACTGCCCTATCTGCCCTAAAGTGGATTACTATTGCAGATGTGCCTAATGAGATACAGGAGTGCCAACCTGAATAAAATATGGGGGGGCAGGTAAGTCCCATCCTGCATAATCACTCACAAGGTGCACACACCCCATTTGAATGGCAATGCTCATCAACTTTTGGGGGCCCTGCGCCTCAACTATTTTATTGGGGGGCCGAAGTGCCCTCGGCCCCTAGGAGTTGTCTTCTATGAGACCATGGGTGGTATGCAAGTAGCTTTTACTCAGAGCAGAGCCATTGAAATGAATGGCAATGAGCAAGTTAGATGCATTAATTTCAGTGGCTGTATTCTGAGTAAGACTTAGATGAAAGCCACCCCATATTTTAATATGAACACAGCCCTAAAATCCAGGGAATGTGAATAAATCTTACTGACCTTTTAAAATAAAATAAAAGCTACATATCAAGTTCCATTCTTGTGTCACTAGTTATACCCTATTCTAAATAAGCGATTTAATTTCATGGATGCATTTGTACTGCAACAATTTTCAAGGCAGTTTACAATTGGAGGGAGAGAGAGAGAGAGAGAGAGAGAGAGAGAGAGAGAGAGAGAGAGAGAGAATCAACCATGAAAGAAGTGTTTTTCACCCTACTGAAGCCAATGCAAAGGGAATTACTGTACACAAGGATCAGTTTTGTTGTTTTGAAAAGATTGTGAGGCTGCAGTCTGACACAATCATACCCAGGGAGAAATAAGTGTGCCTCCAAGTCATCCAGAAAGTTGAAATATGTACATACATTGCTCAACACATACTGATAACTATTTTAAAATATATTAACAGACAACATTTGGAACATTCATCTTACAAGCACTCAGTTATGAGATGACGTTTATTGGGGGATTAATGGAATCCCTAATACCCAGCTCCTTTCTACTTTAGCGAAATTATGCCCCCAGCCTTTTAAAAACTGTAAATTGAAGGAAAGGTTGAAAACGGATGAAGAGGCATTCGGGTCTACAGGAAGGAAAAGCCACGCTTTCACTGCTTTGTCCTGTGATAGGTGTGCAGTTTTCAAGCGGATTTTGATCTGGCCGAGCGGGAGGGGCCATTTGCAACATCGGGGAGCGTAATTCTAAACCGGAGGGTTGTTCTCCCATTGAAATTGCTTCAGTTGTCAAAATAAATTAAATAATAATAATAATAATTTGTGTTTTAACAAAGTTGTTTATCTTAACATTCATATTCCTAGAGAATTAGTATCCACTGAAGGGACCGCGCAAACTTAAAGCAAATTCTTGGCTTTATATGTCCTTTTACACCATAGTTCGTTTAATTCCATTTAATGGCTAACGATAATGGTTCGCTTTGAGGACGTAAGACTTTTGTTACTTTATCAGAACTGCAAAATTTCGACAGTAACCTCCCCCGCCCGCCCGCTTAGCACAGAATATACTCACTTTGAGCAAAAATGTCAAATCTACTTTGATGAAATCTATCCTTGCTCCGAATACTTTTTTTAAAAAAAGTTTAAACTGCTTATCATGCCCAGGGATATGAAAGGCATTGAGCTCCCATTTGAAGCGTTCAAATACATCTTCTGTCGGTGGGTTTTAGGGCCGAAATCTCTTGGGTGCTGTGAAATGTCAGCACCGCAAAACGAAGCGGGCAGGGCAGGGGGACTTGCTCGGGAAAGGACTACCTTGTTTTTACCAGGCGCGAAACTAGGCTTTATTTCACTCGGGTCAAAGAGCCAGTTTGGCACATATCCATGCGCATTTGCATGCACACACAGAGGCTGGGCCTGGGAGCCTCAATGGCGCCCCTCTGAAGGCTCCAGGGGCAAAACAAAACAAAACAGCTGGCTAGCCGCCCCATAGCTACGACTCTGCTTTTACATTCGCAGTGAGGGCAAAGTTTGCTGTCTAGTCTGGCGAATTTAAGACTAGGAAACCGCAAACCACTTTTCTGAGCTTTAAGATTCAAACCCGCTTTAAGTATTGTTAGTTCATGAGAACACGCGGGCGCGGGGGGCGGAGTCGCGCTGGGTAGCTGCTCTCCCCGGCTTCCTCAGGTGCACGTCGGAAGGGCGGCAGAGAACCTTTGCGGGCACACGCGATCCGGAAGGTTGTAGATCACTAGGCAGCCTGTAGGAATAACTCTTTCCCTCCCTGCCTTCAGAAGCTTGTCCTGTAAGTTCATGGGGCTATTCTCTGTTGATCTCAGGTTCTGCTTGCTGGTTTCTTGTGAGCCTCGGGAGGGGGGCACTATACTAACAGCACTGGACTAGACATAAGAGCCTAGGGGCCGAGATTGAGAGGGCCGTCCTCTCCCCCCCCACCACCACCACGTTGATGGGCATTGCCATTCAAATGGTGTGCCTGCACAACGACATGTGAACGATTAGGTGGGAAGGGTCTTACTCCCACCCCATATTTTATTAAAGTTGGCACCCCTGGGACTAGAGGAGCCTTGGGTCTGATCCAGTAGAGGTCTTCTTATATTCTTAAAGGCAGACGGTATGAAGGGACCAAGGTTCAGCACAGGCTTCCACGCGTGATCTGGAAGCAAGCGTGTACCCCTGAAGGCTCCCGGCTTCCCTAGTTCCCTTGAACCGCTGGTCCACCTTGCTCAGTATTGTCTGGTAGAGTTCTCTCTCCCTCCCTACCTGGAGATGCTGGGGAGCAAACCTGGGTCCTTCTGCATGCAAAGCAGATGTTCTACCATTGAGCTGTAGCTGTGGAAAGACAGCGGAGAGGCTATTGGCACAGCCGTGACCCGCACGCCACCCGTTTGTTTTTTACTAACCCCTCAAAAAGGCTTTAACTCCGCATTCTACAAACACGTGTTTAAACTTGCTGGTTTCATAACGCCCATTTTCAAAAAGGGCATTGGCGTTTTATCATGCGCTTAGTGCTTGTAACTTCCACTGTAAAAGTCTTTGGGAGACTCCCCCGCTCCATGTATAGTTTATTATATTAAAACTGGAAACCCAGACTTTCTCAGGGTTATTATTCTATTATAAGATTCTAGTTTTCTCTCTCTAGGAAGTGACTCTGAAAAACGCTGGTTCCCTTGAGGCCCATGAACTCATGGAAATGCCTTCTCACCTGGGCAAACCATTTACTCCGAATTCGTCCTGCTGCTCTCTTACCCGCGACAGCGCAATCCTAGTCATGGTTTCCTTTGAAATAGGTCCTGCCGCGTTCAGTCGTGCTTACTCCCAGATAGGTTTGCAACCTAACAGTGACATCCTATGCACCTTTACCCGGAAGCGAATTCTGTTCCGTTAAATGGGACTCTCAGAAAAGCGTGAGCGGATTGGACTGCAGTCTAATTCAGAATCATACTTCTGATTGGCATGCTGGCCTCGCGCGCTCCTCCCTCTCCCCAAAATACCTATTATTTATTCATTGCTTCATTTACACTCCACCGTCCCTCCAAGGAGCCATGCATGGTTCTCTTTCTCCCCATTTTATCCTCACAACAACCCTGTTAGGCTGAACAACTGCGGTGCGCCCAATATCACCCCAGTGAGCTTAGTGGATGAGCAGGGATTTGAACCCTGGTCTCCCAGGCCCGGCGTCCAATACTACACCAAGGCGGCTCTCTCACTATTAATAGTAGCAATAGTAGTAGTGCTAATAATACTATTAACCATCTCCTGCAAATTAAAACAAAAATACCCAGGGGCGATGCCTTTCCTTTCCTTTCCTTTCCTTTCCTAGGGTGGGGCAGGACTTTGAATCCGATTAAATGCTCTGTTGAGAAGAACAGAGCACGTGCAAAATGAGGCCTCTTTTCTACACGGTCACTGAAGACAGAGGAAGAACATACAGAGCCTGCAGAGCATCTCTGGCGGGGGCTTCCTTCACCTCGGCTCCATGCTGCCCTGGCCATGACCAAGAGTAGCGAAGCGCCTACTTCAGAAAGTTCGCCAGGGCTCCAGGAACCTTCGCTCACTTCCGACGGCCGGATGTACACTTGGACCCTCTCAATACAATGGCTCTCGATTTGTTTGTGCAACTATAGCAACGGGCCTGAGACTCTTTCCCGCCGATCCTTTTGTTTGAAAGGGCAAAGCGCAAGAACACCTCCGAGCCCCCCCTCCCCCCGGAAACTGGTCAATGGATAGATAGGCTGGAACGCCGTTAACCCTTCCAGTGGCAGGCCATCAAATTCTCTCGCTTTGAAAGCAAGGCAAATTGTGAGACAGGCTATGCACGTGACAATTTAGAAGGCGCACGGCTTGGGGGAGGGGGGCGAGCGCAGGCAGATAGATGATGCCAGCATCTGCTTCATCATAAAACATCCACGTGGGGGGGGGGTTGTGGACAAGCGTTTTTGTCTGATGTGTGTAAAATTCGGGACATCCGAGACTTATAAAGAGGTCTGAAACGGGGACTGAAAAGAATGCAAGAGGCTGTCAAACCTGAGGGCGACCGGCTCGACGAAAAACCGAAAGGAACACGCGGCAGGCAGAGATAACAGAGGGTTTAAATAACGCACATATACATTGGAGACATGAATTCAATAGGTGTTATAGACAGGTCCCCTAATACTGATTCCGCTTGCGGATATGACTTCCTGGGTAAAAGTATTCCGCTGCTCCCAACCAACTCAAACTTCAGGGTCGTCATGTATTAAGCAAACTGCACGTGCAGACAAGGCTGCGGAGAACCACTTAGAGCATGAACAATAGCCTCCCATTCATCGCGCGCGGAAGACACTGCGAGTCAATACAATGGCGCCACTGTCGCGCGGCGGCGCGCTTACACACACATCCCATCCGCCAATAATGGCTTGAGTCACAACTGGCTCACACCTCAGGGAAAAGAGGCAGGTTCAGGCAACCCCGAAGGCCCATCTCACCCCCACCCCCCACAAAAGGGGGGGGACCCCAGAAGAAAGCAAAGAGCAGGAGCGGAGGTACCATTACCTGGCTCTGCATCCTAATGTAGGAGTTGGCTGGAAAGTGAAGCCCACAGAGTTAATGGGGCTTCCCCCCTTTTTTTGGGGGGGAGAGCATCTTTAGATCAGATGGCAGGCCCAGGCGCACCCCAGGGCACTTTCGCGCTTGCAAAGAGGAATCTCTCTCTCTCTCTCTCTCTCTCTCTCACACACACACACACACACACACACACACACGAGGCCTGGCCTCGGCCGCTCACCTCCACTTTGTCCTCCTGTTCTGGAACCAGGTCTTGACTTGCGCGTCGGTCATTTTCAGTGCCTTGGCCAGAGCCGCCCTCTCGGCCGAGGCCAGGTACTTCTGCCGATGGAAGCGCTTCTCCAGCTCGCAGATCTGCAGGCGGGTGAAGGAGGTGCGGGGCTTCTTCTTCTTGGGGGGCGTCCGGTTCTGGTAGGGGTGACCTATACGGCGTGTTACAGTGAACGGTGAGAGGGCCACTGGAGGGGGAGACAGGGCGGGCGGGGGTGGGGGGTGGGGGCAAAGAAGCAAGCGGCGACATGATCAGGAGGGGTCCACAAGCGTCGGCAGAGGAGAGACAGAAAGAGACAGACAGACAGACAGTCAGAGAGCGAGGCTGGGCCGAGGTGGGCCGAGGAGAGCACGGGAGGAAATCCCAGGCACAGAGGCAGCCACCCCCCACTCCCCTCAAGACAGGCTATGGCCCACAATCCCCACCCTCTCTTCGTTTAGCCTTGCGAAGGGGAAAGTGGAAACCTCTCCAAATTTCTCTCCGAAGATCTCGACTTGCCTGAGCTTCTCCAGTTTTTTATTTTTTTATTTACATCATCCTATTTATTTCTATCGCTCCAAGAGCCTCTGGGTATAGACGTACACATGTAGAGCACCAAGACGACATCTATCAAGTTAGTAAACTAGCCACGAGTCTAGTCCCCTGGATATTGAAAAGACTTCAGATCTAATCTGGGGGCTCTTGGTGGGCCGGGAGACGAGTTGGAAAGGAGTTCCAGAGATGGGATATTCTAAAGGCGAGCAGAAAGGCCCTCGAAGACTGAAACTGGGGTTTCCCTTTACCCCTCGCCCCTCGACGTAAGACAAAACTAGACTGAATGGTCCACAGGGCACATTTATCGAAGGCTTTGAGACCAGTGGAACAATCCACAAAACATCTCCGTCCCTTTTCCCAGATCTGGAATCAAGGATGAGAAGGGTTTGTCCCTAGCTGACTTTGGGGAGGTGACCGAGGGTGAAACACCTTAGGTTGGTCCATTAGCATTCACTTTCTGGGGGTTCAGCATTCCGCCCCCCCACAAAACAACAATAAAACAACAACAACCCCGGAATGGGCAACATTACAGTAAATGGATGATCATCGAGGGACTGGGGCGCGACTTTTTTCAAAATACATATGTAATCGTGCAAAACGTTGGCTAATCCTACCCTCTAAGGCTGGGCTTTGCTGCCTCGCTAGCCCGGAGGCCAGCGCAGAGCAACACCGCGAGCGAAAGGAAGACAAAACTCATCTGGGCCTCGCAGGAGTCACGAATCACTGCAGCAATTAAATCCTATTAATGTTTCACCGCACCCGCTCCTGCCCCCGAAGGCTTTAATTTTGCAAAGACTGAAGCAGCTCTGACTTTCAGGCAATTTCCCTACCAACCACTTTGGTTTATTTCCCCCCGAAAACGTTGCTACGGGTGACTCTCAACACAGGAATCAAGGCCCACTGAAATCAATGGGGCTTATTTCGAAATAAAACGTAGGACTGGGTCATAAACATTGGGTCGAATTACTTCGGAAGAAAAGGGTGCAGAGCGTCAGGCTATAAGCAGCGGGGGTAAAGTTGTAAGGGTTGGGGATCCTGGAGCCCCCATCAGGCCCGGGCCAATGCACAGGGATGATGGCAGTGGTGACCCAACAACATTTGGAGGTTACTCATCCCTGCTGTAAACCTCAGCCCTAAACTAGAAAAAGCCATTGAATAATGGGACACCCTCCGAAGAAAGACGCGCGGGATTGCGCTGTAAGGCTTACCAAGAAGTAAGTCTCACTCAATGCAAATGCGCTTACTCTCGAATCAGTGCGCACAGAACTGCAGCCATCGTGGGTCTGAGTGTAGAACGAACGTGGTTAGAATTGGGCTACACTTCTCCCTTCCCCCCGCCCCCCCGAAAAACTACGTTGCTCTTTGGGTGTTACTGTGCTTCAAGCGGATGCAGTTCGATAAAATCGATACAGCGTTTCATGAAATACTGAGAGCACTTGCTTGTCTAATTTTAAAAATACAACTCACAAGCACACGAAACCTGCGGGTTGCTTTTAAAGGAATGCTCGTAAAAACTATTAAGAATACGAAGGAAGACTATTAGGTAAAAAGCGGGTGCGTCGTGCGTGTGTTTGAGGGGGCAGGAATGGGAAATGGTCCGCGTAATCAAAGATATTCTTTTGATTTTTCATATGGTTGTCGTTTTGATTTTAAATCGATGCAATGTGGCCTGTTTTCCGACCTTTCCGATGCTGGAGTGAAATCATTCTCAAATGGCAACAACAATCTGCTATGTAAGTAACAAAACAGAGCAAAAACAAGCCAGCCCCCAAAATACTATTTAGATTGCTTTCTCAACTTTTCCTCTCCCTTGTGATTAGTCTTCCTACGAAAGATATTTTCCAAAAACCACTGTGGCAAGATTTTTATATTAAACTTTCCGACGCGGAAAACAAAAGGATTTAAGAGTCACTTGGGGGTTGAGGACGGGGACCTTTTGGAGTCTTGCCTCTGGTTCCAAGTTTGACTGGGAATTATTATGTTAAATAGGACGCTTAACAGCGCGATCCTCCAACACCTCTCTATTCAGGCCTAATGTACTTTTTTCTCCTTTAATTTCCAAACAAACAAAAATACCCCAGACATTTATAGGGGCAGCATGGAGCGAAATACATACCGTAAGCCTGAATTGGGAGAACTGGAAATAAGTTGGAAGTAAGGGGAAGGCAATAGGTGAAAATCTGAAATGAGTTTATTTTAGTATTTGTAAACCCCCCCCCCTAGGATATCTGAACGCTGATTTATAGTTTAGTGGCAAATCCGAAGACTTTAACAGACTTTTCAAAATATCTTTATTTATGGCTAGATTCGATTGCAATCCTATGCACTTTTTACCTAAGAGTAAGTGAAACTGTACATAGCGGGCCTTACTTCTGAGTAAACGTGTATGCTATTGCGCTGCTTATGAATATTAAAGAAGCGTTCCACAGGAAAGCGAGGAAAATAAATTCCACCAAACGCTCCGTATATTTTATCGCACAGTTCCCAATCCACACACACGCTCAAGTTTAACGCCAACAATTTTCCTATTTTGCCCGAATGCTTTCAGCGAAAGGCAAGGGGAGAGAGGAAGAGGTAGGCCTCTAACTTGCTGCAGGAGCCTAGTCGGAAGAACAAACCAAGGAGCCCAAGGCGCTCTCGTTTAAATAAATGAATAAATCAGACTGTACTTTAAAAAAAAAAATCTTTTTAAAAATCGTGCTCTAAAAGCAAGCGGCACAGAGCCACGCGTGCTGCAACCATCTCATTGAGGTCTGGAAATCATGACTGCGATACGTAAAAAAATAAAATACAGGCTGCAGAGGGAATGCAAGATAACATCTACATTTCTATATTTTATTGGGTCATCTGTAATAAAAGACTAGTTCTTACGGGTCTTGCTCCTGGGATTCTCCTCGCTCCTCCAACGAAACCCCCGGTTTCTCCCCACCTTGGGGCGTTTTCCCTGCTGTGGAATAACAACATCCCGGAAGCCCTCCTGAAACCGAAGCGGGGCGGAGGGTTCGAGGTTCAATCACAACGCGGATCGCAGGCCTAGGCGCGCGCAGCGCGGTGGGCGCGCTCTATTCGGTGGAAAGACCCCGACTGCGCGGGTGTTTATCTGCCCATCTGTCTTGTTTGGGTCTCTCCAAACAGTCATTGGTTTGAACTTTACAACCCCCCGGGAGATAGGTAAGTTGCCAGCCCTTGGGGTAATCCTATCCTTCTCCAAGCGAAAGATAATGGGGATTTTATTGATGAAGCTCGGGTTTCACTCTTTAAATTAAAACTGAAATATTATGGCCGTCATTGTTTGCAGTGGGAGGGCAGCGGGGCAGGAAATCCCCGAGATGTTCCGAAAGCCACCGGTTTATGTGGCGGTTCTCCTTCGAACGGATCTGCCTCTGAACTAATATACATTTTGATCGGCTCACATATTCTGTTTCGTGCATGTATAACAGCAGCTCAGATCTCTCCATTTACAGGCCAGAGATTCGAGAAAAGACTGGATCCGAAAGGAGGCGCAAAAGGAAGACGTAGTAGTTCCCAAGACCAGACTATTGATCGGCCACTCTCGTCCCTGCCATTCGCATCTGGATCCTGCCCCTTTTCATTATTTATGTTACAGATCAGTATCACGTAATGCCGTCTGTCTAGGGCTGGGAAACATGTATATGTGTATGTGTATTTGTATAGAAATTATTTTATAAAGGCACGCGCACGTGTGCTGTATATTCTATTGAAAACAGTTCTGAAGGTTATTAAAATGTTACTTGAACATTGAAATAGGCTGTTCTTTCGGCAGTAGATGAATTATTATTACTTTTTATAAACATAATTATTTGGCCAAAATGTTATATTTTAAACACATACACTATTCGCCTGACCACGTTGTAAGTTACTGTTGTGGTGGTGATTATTGCTATTAGTGGTAGCATTTATTATAGCCTTTCAAAGAAATAAATCTGTCACAGTTTTAAGAGCTATAGAGAGATATAGCTATGTGAGGGGGAGGGGGAATTCAGCTACAGTAGGAATGCATCATTTATAAATTCATTCGCGTGAGTACTGGGGCTGGATCACCCCACCAATTGAAAAATAAAAATAAAGGAGACCTCAGCTCCTATGAATGTCATTGAACAAAGTCTGGATAAACTACGGATTATTAGCATGTCAATTCCATTTCTGGGAGAAATACTTGAATAGCTCGAGAGGGTGAAAGCCTACTTCTTCCCTGGAAATTTCAACAACATTAGAACCTCGAGATAACAGTGCTGTCAAATACAGCCAATTTAATAATGATAATCAATGTGATTAAAGTTCTCTACTACAGAGGCCTCTCTTTTTTTTACCGCCAAATCCCAGGCATATATATGAGCGCTCTAGTGGGCCATAAATCTAAGATCAATCCATCAAAGCTATTTATAAATCACGCCAATCGATGCCATTAAACCAGTTACAAATCGTGCCCAAGGCCTGCCCGGTAGGTTTGTTGCTTAGGGGCAGAGAAGGGACGCTCCATCTCCGAGCCAGTAAGCTTGTTTTTGTTTTTCGGATGCGAGAGAAGAGAGAGGAGAGCGAGTGAGCGAGCGACGGGGGAGACTAGTGCAGGTGTGCAGCAGGAGGGAAAGAGACCCACTCACCTGTGAACCTGTCCTTGGTGTAGCGCCTGTTGCTCTCCATCCAGGGGAAAGTCAGCCCCGTGAGATTGTTCACGGACGGGACGGTGGGCACGGCCGTGGAGAGAGGCTGGTGGACGCCTCCGGTCAGGGGTCTGTGCGCCGGCACCCGGATCACGCCCCCGGCCGCGTTGAGGTTATTTCCGTTCATGGTCCCGACCCCCAGGTTCATGTTGTAAGACCCCGCCAGAGAAGCCATGCTGCAAGCCCCGCCGTTGCTGTAACCTCCGGCGGAGGACGACCCTCCTCCTGCTGCTCCTCCGCCGCCGCCGCCGCCGCCGGTGGCCGAGCCGTAGTGGCCGGCCATGGGGTTGTACGCGCTGCTCACCACGCATCCTCCCAGGCCGTAGTCCGCCACGTCCTGCAGGCGCGCGTTGGAGATCATGCAGCTGCCTTGGTCCGGGTTGTTGAGGATCTGGTCGATGCCGAAGCTGATGGGCTCGGCGTGGCTCTGGTGGAGGTGGTGAGCCCCTAAGTGATCCATGCTGGGCCCACAGCCACCCCAAAGAGGGCGACTTTTACCCTCCCCCCTCCACCACCTCCACCACCACCTCCACCTCCTCCTCCCTTCTTCTTCCAGGCGAGAGGTTTTTTCAAAATACGCGCAGCTTTCCTGGTCGCGCTTCACTTGATCCCAAAGAGGTAAAAAAAAGGAGGATGGAAGCGGAGGAAGGAAAAGCTGGGGGAAGGGGGAGGGGGAGGGTGTGGGGGGATGTGCGCGCCCGTGGGCTCCCTCTCTCGCCTAGCTGCGAGGGCATCAATCATGTTAGCCAAAAGCCTGGTGCTGCTAGGCCCTGCTCCGCCATTGGCTGGAGCACGGAGAAGCTGGATGAATGACAGCCGAGGAGAAAGAGGGAGGGAGGGAGGGAGAAGAAAAGGAGTTTCTTTCCCAGCCAAACCCAAGCGGGGCACCCATGGACCCTAGCAAGACGACTCCTCTGCACAGCAGAGTCAGAGCGCTGGCGCTTGGGGAGACGGCGAAGCGCCCGCGCAACCTCTCGCCTGAGTCAGCGCATTATCCGCGCGGCCGCAATTCTGCGCCCCGTTATTTTGTAGCACCGCTTGCGTCCCAGACCCAGCCGGTGGCGGGGCAGGGAATGAAGAAGCTTGTTAAAAGCCGCGTAGGGGAAAGGAAAGAAAGAGGCCCTTTCCTTCTTCTTGAGATCCTCGTCAACTGCAGGCCCACCACGCAGAGGCTGGGCGCCCGAGTCTGCTAAGTTGCGCACCGTCCATGGACTTGCCTGGGCTAATGTAGTTAGCGGGCAAGACGGAGGACGTGATGAAGATGGAGCATGGAGGGTCAAGTTGATGGGTCGGCGACGGCTTTCCAATGGGCCACTTCGTGGTCCCGATCCCCAGGTTCATGCTACACGACCCCACCTAAGCGGAACATGTCCTCCAAGAGTGGGTAGGAAGGCGAGGTGTTCGGCCATTCATACTTCTCCACACAGTGCGTGATACCCAACGTTAGTCGTCCTCACAGCAGACCCATTAAAATAAATGAACTTAAGACCGTTTAGAGTAGGGTTTACTCTGACTATGATTTAGTGGGTGTGCGTTTAGTTTTTTAAAGGCCTGAGTCTTTCATTTTAATTTCGCTTTCATGCCTCTTAAAAACCACAAAACTGAGAGCCCAACTACTGCTTTTTATATACATATATTTTTTTGTTCATGATCAGTTGGAAGAAGAAAAATGAACACATTGGAGTTCATCAGATCTTCACACCGAAATGTAATGGACAACTGGGGAGGGGAGCTCAGGTACCAACTTCTAAAATTATATAATCTCTGAAGTATCACCTGATATGCACAAGTGACATACACACCTCACCCACTTTATGCCAGGGATAGGGAGCATGTGGCTCTCCAGGTGTTATTGGATTCTAACTCTGGCCAATGGAGCTGGTGAAGAGTGGACACCAGCGACCTGGCAGGATGTCCTTCCCTTCAGCTCAACAGTCCCAGGGCAATTTTTTAGAAGCTGTTTTTCAAAATTCAGAAGTAAGGTGCTTCAACAAGACTTATACCCGCATAACGTATTTCAGAGTGTGGCGTGATCTGCTCTGGCTGCTGACTCAGTTTCCAGTGCAAGGTTTGGTCTGTCCACGTGGGCAGGCAGGCGCAGAAAATTTAAGGAGTCCAGACCGTCCGTGCGTCGAACAAGTGGATTCCGAACCAGCTGAACTCCGTCTTAGGGTTCCCTCTAGACAAAGCCACTCCGGCTTCTACCAGCCTCATGTAACAGCAGCTTCAAGGAATGCCCTCAACCACCCATCCTTCCATTGTGCCCTCATAATTCTGCAAGAGCTACTTCAGTTCTCGAGGTTGTCCTACCTGGGCCTAAACCGAAGCATTTGCCCATCCGCTGCCTCCCAGTCTATTAATACGACAATCTTCTTAATAAGATAGGCTTGTGATTTAGCTCTCAAGGAGTTGGGGTCCCTGGAGCCTTGGTAAGAAAGGCAGGGTAACCCCCGTAGCGTTTTCTCAGGTTGGACCACAAAGATCTCAGAACAAGAAAGTCGAATCCGCTAAAACGCAGAGGTTATAGTCATGGGGTGGCAAGTCCATTAAATAGACCCACTGAAATAATGAGTCCTGGGCATTAATTTCAGTGGGTAAAACTTAGTTGAATGCTATGTTCTGTGCTGCACTTTCCCATTCCCTCCACGGGCCAAGGTGGATATAGAGACAGGACTTCAACCCCAACCCAAATCTTCCAGCGTTCCCCACTGTACAATAATGACTCAAAAAGTAGCTCTAGTATTGAGCTTCTGAAAACCGGCAAGGTAATGACGTGACAATTATCATTCCTCTGGATTCTAGATGTCCCCCCCCCCCGGAGTTCACTCCCCCCTTCCACCAAGCAGTTTGCGTCCTCTAAAAGTAACGTGCCAACAACACAAACTTTTTAGAAGTTTATGGAGCAGCCCTATGCACGTCTGCGCAGAATTAAGTCCCATTGAGTTCAAGTGTGTAGAGGACTGGAGCTATCATTTCATTTTTAAAACGCGCTTACGGATACAATCGCAACCCCTAGCAAAGAAGGAGACTCGTTAAAGTTCAGGATCCCGTCTACGCAGCTATGATGGAAAGCTTGTTGCTAGTTCTGCTGCTGCTGCTACCGAAAACCACAGGAAAGGATTGAGAATGGCACTTTTGAACGTTCCTATAAAAAAGCCACCCCCCTCCAAAAAACTCCAATATTTCTACGGAAGATTGTTTTGAGCAGCATTGACGGTTTCAGAACTAAGGAAATGAGTCTCTTGCGTGTGAACCCCAATTTTATCCACATTGATTCAGGCGCTGTCTCACTGACGGCAAGGGCGCTTGCTTCCAGGTCATGTCAGAAAGCGCAGGACTTAATTAATTACATTTATACCCCACCTTTTCCCCAAGCAGCTCAAGGTGGCACACATGGTCTTCTTTATCTCTGTTTTCATCCTCACAACAATAACCCTGGAAGGCAGGTTAGGCAGAGAGGTAGTGCTGGGCTCAAGGTTACTCTGGGCTACGTGGGGATTTGAGCTCCCGTGGCCCCGTCCAGCACTCTAACCACTAAACCACACTGACCATCCTTTCGAGAAACTGTGTCCAGGAAATATTGTGTTAGAAGGGTTTCCCAGACATTTTCAAAACCAGCACGGATTTATTCAAGTTGAATAGGATACATGTAGGAAATAATAATAATAATAATAATAATAATAATAAATTTTATTTATATCCTAACAACAATAAAACAGTACAACAGTACAAAACACAACACAACACAACACAACACAACACAACACAACACAACACAACACAACACAACACAACACTCTAAAACCATTCATTATAAAATTAATTCAAATCAAACCAATGGCAACCATTGGGCCAGAGCTTCTACATTTCCCTACACTGGTGAAGCGGGGAACTTGCTTAGAGGGTTTTTCCTGATTCCAGATGATTCCACTACACCTGTTTCTGTGCTTTGCTGGGTCCATTCAGAGATGAGTGAAATTGGGAGCCCCATTTCCCAGGACCTAGAATCATATCCGTTCCCCCTTGTTTCCCTTCTTATTGCCTCTGATTGCAGCCCTCCTCTTTCACATCAGTTTAGAATTACTTTCACAGAGGAAATAGTTTGCATATTTTCTAAATTTATAAGCCAGAAAGTTTTCGACATTTACTAATTGCTGCTGCTACCGATGGACGGGCCAGTTCTTCCCAAGCAGGATCAGGCTAATGTTGTTATTCTTAATATAGCGCCATCTATGGACATGGCGCTTTAGAAAAACAGGTTAGACAGGTCCCTTGCCCCGAGGGGCTTACAATCCAAAACAAACAAAAGAAGGGGTGGGTAGGACTTGAACCAAAACTTCATTGACTGAGAGTCAGAGAACAAAGACACTAACCTTACAATCATCTCGAATTAAATTTATTTTATTGGTTTTAGGGTGATTTAAGTCTCAGGGAAGCCAATGTCACGTCGGCGCAATTTGAAACCCAAATATTTGAAAGGCACATAGAGGAGAGTTCTGTTGCCCTCAGGTCCTGCTTGCGGCCATCACACAATAAGCATCGGGTTGGCCACTGTGAGAACAGGATGCTGGACTAGATGAGTCTTTGGTCTGCTCCTGCAGGGCTCTTCTCACTTTCTTATTATTCAAGGAAGCTGAATGCCACCCAGTGATGTTTATGCGACTACACCACTACAACATTTGCTTTTGCTACTGCCATTATTATTTCTGCACACATACACATCACTACAAGTACGCAAGGCAGCATAACCCGTTTGAAAACATTCCCAAAGAATGCGGATCCCGTTCTTAGTCCTGCTGTTAACTTGGTCAACTCTGCCATAGATGGAACCTTGTTTGCCTCCAATTCTCAAGTGGAGCTTCCTGTCTTCCTCTCCCATCTCTCCAATGAGAGCAGACGGAGAGAGCAGGTTTTTATCTGGACTCAAGGGATTCCCTTACTACTCAATTTGATTCAGTTATACTTGAACTGAAATTAATTTGGGACCAAACTGTATTCGTCACCCAACGTACATCCAATTGTGTTTAAACAGGGGTTTGTTCTCAGGAAAGTGCATAAGGGCTGTAGCCTTACACATGCAACCATTTTTTCCCTATTTCGCTCAAACCATTTAACAAAGACCTCAGTGCAATCATTTTATTAGATGTAAGCCGTGGAAGTCAAAGGCATAAATCAGCATAATTTTAAACCAAAACCATGGTGACAAAAATGCAAACTTTTTATTGAGAATGTGCTTTGAAAGTGTCCCTCATTATTGGATAAGTACAGCTATTATCCATTTCGGAACAATGAAGCAAGTTAGCAGCTCTTTCTTTTTCTTTTACTGTATTTTTGGTTTCTATGGAAGCCGCCCAGAGTGGCTGGGGAGGCCCAGCCAGATGGGCGGGGTATAAATGATAAATTTATTATTATTATTATTATTTCGAAATTAAGAGCCTGGATAAACTTCTGTAAAACATAAAACACAGCCAAGCAGTTTTCATGGGCTTAGAAAGCAACCCTTTAAGATGAACTCGAGTCAATTGTCCATTTGTTCAGATTTGCTTACACTTTATTTAAAATATGTGTTCACTATGGAGGTTGTGTCACGGGGGGTATCGGCGGAAACTTCACCTTTGTAAATCAACACTTGGCGTTTCCTTTGCTCCCCCCCCCCACTCCGTCTTCTTCTAGAGTCCGTTTGGCTGTTTGAAATTGACCAGACTCTGTGGCAGCTTCAAGGAGCTAAAGTATTTCTGTTTGAAATGATTGTTTTTAAGCTAAATGAAACGGACCGTTCCGTCTGCTAAATTGGCATGTCAACAGGCATATATGCCTGGGAAGATAAAAGAGCTAAAAAGGAAAGGTTTAACTCCACGATACCAAATCAGAGCGCATCTGATCGCAGTTGGTGAGATGGATTTTGTCTCTCTCTGTGTGTGTGTGTGTGTGTGTGTGTGAGAGAGAGAGAGAGAGAGAGAGAGAGAGAGAGAGAGAGAGGTTTATATTCTCAGGATAAAGAACGAGAGAGTAAGTGGCAGACGGAGATCCCAGCAACCCATCGCATAATCGACTGGCATATAAAAGGCATTTTTTGCCACCCACCACATCACGTGTCGTTCCACAACCGTGCTTCCAATTCGTTATTATTTTCAGAACATTTCAACTTTGTTGTTGTTGTTGTTGTTTTGGTCCAGTGTCTCACAATCCATCACCATATTTATTTAAGGCAGAGGGGGTTTTTTTGTGTTTGTTTGTGTATTTGTTTCTTAATTTTGGATACAAAGCTTTGTGGCAATTATCTCTGAGCTTCTCGAAAGTGATTTGTTGTTCATCTTTCCGGTCTATAAACTCGCAGACCAGTCTAAATTCTCCGCAATTCATTTTCAAGGTCAAATATTCCGCTAATATTTCCTGCTCCCGCAGGGTGTCATTCCCGCAGCTCTTACAAATTTCCCAAGGGATTTACAGCAGCCCGACAAAAGTAGAGGTTTGTCCAAGGCCCCACAAGGAGTCGACCCGGCAAAGGAGGTGAGAGATCCAGACTGAAGTTAGAGGCTGCCATTCTAAAGGTACTTACTGAACATAGTGGAATCTGTTCACCCGGCTAGTGCTGGAAATGGCTTCCGAAACAGCAACGTCGAAATTAGTGCGATTTACTTCAGAGCGGTATTTAGGATCAGGCTACAACTAAGCTTTTGACAAGGATGATACCGGCTCTCTCTCTTTACACCTCGCTTCCTACACATCTAACAGAATGAGGTGGGGAGATGGCAGAGCCCTGGTGTGCCAAAACGCACTGTGCCATTTTAGCATGGGGGGGTCGGGGGGTCGGGGAGTCACACTTCTTAAACAACCCCCTGAATGAAAAACAGCACACACCCCGTTCCCAAATCGCCTGCGCTTAGACTCGCCCTACCATTCTCATTCTGCAGCAGCTGTAGATAACGACTTAAGGTCCAGTCCTATAGCTGCTCCCAAGCGAGGGAACCTCTTTGGACTCAACAGACAGGATTGCACTGTTAGGGTGTTTTAATGAAGACATGGGATTGGAACAAAATAAAAGGCACCTCTATCCAGGAGCTAGTCTTTTCCTGGCTCTCCTATCCATCCATCATCCATCCATCCATCCTTAGATTGCTGCCAGTGCCTCCTTGCCTGTTCCAGTCCTGCGGCCCGGAGAGTTCACAGCATTCCTCGCTTTCGGTGTTGGCTTTCAAAGGAACCGAGAGAGGCTTTCTCTTTCCAAAGCCTTCTCCTCCTCCTCCTCTCGCGAGCACTAATTGGGTGAGCAATTGACAGAAGTTAATAACAGCGCAAGAAAAATGTCTCCGAGCCGGTGGCCAAATGAGGAGTGCATTATGGCGAATTGATTTGGGGCGCTCCGGGGCCTGGCTTATTTAACAGCAAGCATTAAAGTATTAATATTTTAGATGGGATCCGAGTCTATATTTTTTATGTCGGGCAATTGACGGACATTAAACTTTAATGAAATGATCTGCTGGCCAGATTTAGAAGGCTTGTCAGCCCAAAGGAGCAGGGACCATTAGCACGCAAAAAATAATAATGGGGAGGGGAGCGGTAGCACTTTCACTAACAGGTAAATAATTAAAAAGAAATGCTAGCCTACCAGGTCAGGGGGATTATTTAGAGCCGGGAGCCATTATCACGCAGGCACAAAATGCAACTCTTGGGGTGGGGGGCGCGCGTCGAGGTAGAAATAGGCGCGCAGAAACGCGCTTACGCAGGCGCGCAAACTTAACGGCAGAGCCGCGTCTTGGAGTGAGGTTTGTTTGGGGAAGCTCAGCAGACAAGAATTAATTCCGAGTGCCTGCAGAATGCCAGAACACGCAAAGCCATAGCTCTTCCTCCCACCTCCTCCCTTAACAGCAGGTAGCGGAAACAACAATTAGTTCCAAGAGTCACGTTTATATCGCGCTGTCAGCCTCCAATTATTATGAAGATTATCTATTTGCTGGAAGATCCTGAGACGCAATCGGCAAATGTGGGAAAGGGAACGTTTGTGTTTCTGTTGGAGAAAGAAAGAAATGGAATATATATATATATATATATGGCTGGATTTTATATATACGGTTCGAATTTGCATTTATAGATCTGTTTAGTAGTTCTGTCACAGAAATAACTAAAGGTAATGTATGATCCAGATTCTGAAGCAACATCCTTGGAAGTTAGGTCCCGTTGAACTTAATTCGTAGGAATCAAAGGAGTTTAAAAGGTGGTAGGCAATGGACTTTAAAGGGCAGGTCGAATTCTTCGCTGGTTGATGAGATGTGTTGCTATTACATTGATAAGCACAGTTGTTGTTTTTTTAAAAACTGCCACTGCAGAGTTGTTAATGGGTCTGATGGAATTAATCGATTAATCATTAGGGTAATCGAATCACACGTTGATCTTATAGAATGTGGACTCTAAATCAGATTTTAATAAGTACCGGTCGTGCTCCGCGAAAGCCTACTGAGCGCATCTTAGAGAACGAACACCAACCCGTCTCTTCATTTAAACAAAGCTTTTATAATTGTTCATCCTTTGGGGGGTGTTTTTACACTTCTCCACACCGTATTCTTTATCAAAATATTCTCGGTGTATTAACTGCACCGATTTAAAGCAACTTTAATGCAGTGACTAACAATTTTAAATTAACTGACAGCTCTGATTAGTCATAGCAGAAGCGGAGAAAATCAAAAATTTACAGTTAGTCAGATCTTTACTTTGACTCAACCGCCTAGGCAGAAAATTGTATTTTTATTTTTAAGCTGAAAGGGAATTCCAAATATGTTCAAAAAAGACCCACGACCCATTATGGTGTGACCATGTAGCTGTTTGCAGTCCATTTGGGAAGGACTAGAAAATACTGGAAATTCAAATTATTTATCCTGGTAGATCCGTACAGGTCTTTTTTTTAAAAAAAGGAAAATAAATAAATAAACCAAACTCTTCAGCTTGTAATAGTGCTTCGATTCCCAGTTGTTTGCGGGACCCCCAAATTTTGTCCCCCAGGCTATATAGAATAACAGGCCTTCACCAGATGGTCTCTTGCTTTCCCGATGCTAAGTGATGGAGAGACGATATTATTGGGAAAAGAGCATCTGTTCAGGCACACACCCTCCCCTGCCCCTCACTTGGGAAACGTGGCCTCGCCTCTCGCGCGGAGCCGAAGCTCTCCTCTGAGCGCTCTCAAGTATCCCGAGGAAACCCCAGCCCGGACTTCCCAAGTGCCAAATAAATATTTGCGAGGACGTTTTCGTTCCGTGTCACTTCCAATTTATAAGAAGCGTCCCCACAACCGCAGCCGCTCCTTGCTGACCTTTCCCACTCCAAGTCACCCAAGGGCTAGATTTCTCCACTGGTGACGCGTAAGAAAACAGGAGTGGATCTAAAAATAATTTTATTTTCTTTCCCTCTACCCCCACCCTCCACTCCCGTTTTACTTTGCCATTTGAACGTTTTCCATTTTGGCCAGCTGAGGTTTTCAAAGTAGTAAATGGAATAAAACAACAGCCGTTGGAATACACGGGAAAATGTACACGCGTGGGCACGCGCACCCACGCACACCTCAAATGGAAAAGCGTGTATACGTTGAAAGGCAGGTGCTTTCAAAAGCTGCGAGAATTTGAGGGTGAAGCCTGGCCCAAACCAAGCCTTATCTGCTTCTCACACAGTAAGAAGTTCTTTTTATTGTTTGCACAGAAATCTGTATTTTGCATTCATTTACAGCCATTTAATTTCTACTACTCAGTGATCCACACGCAGGGCCACAAGCCTTGTTTATCCCGAGATTGTCAGCAAACACAGGTGTGAGAATGAGGAAGATCTTCGAGGACTTTCTCATTAATGAAAACCGAACATCTGAATGCCTCTGTACTTGGAGCTAATCCTTAGGAACTCCTCGAATTAGTCAGGACTCTTTTTCCAGGACAAGTCCTCCTTTTCATGGGTGGCACGGTTGTCAAAGCGATCCATAGCTAAAAGCAGAAGTCGGCAAATGCTCTTTGAAATATGGCAACCCTACGTATCTGACATAATAACAGAAGAAGAACCCTGCCAGCGGCCCATTCCAGCATTCAAAGCTGAGCCTCCTGAACTTCTGCTTGAGAAAAGTGCCACTCGTTTCTATTTGAAGCAATGGGAAAACGCGACCTCCTCGTGCCAAACCAGACAGGCTAACACGCAGCTCTCTCCCTCCCCGCGCCTCTCAGAGGCTATATCCTGTTGTTCCTTCCCCTCCCAAGAGAAAGGGCCCTGATCCCCCCTCTTCTGGCCAGCAGGATCTTCCCCTTCCCTTCCTTCCTGCAGCGCCTTGTCTGTAGGCGATCGGGTTTCCCCCGCCGCACCCGCCCTACCTGCCTCAAGTTCTTGACTTCTGAACTCTTTAGGGAACCTGCTGGCGCCAGCTCCATCATCCAAAGTCCTTGTGGTTTGGGAGAGCTGAAGCACTCGGGGGTTAGAGAGGAAGGAGCTGATGACTGCTTCAAGGGGGTCCCTCCTTCCCTCCCCCAAGGGTTTAATTGCACTCCCGGAGGCTACTGGTGGGGAATCTGGCTCCCCCCCACCCCTCCGCTCTGCCTTGTTGTGTAATGGGAGGCTGATCCCTAGAAAGGTGGATAAATATACACTTCACCTCCCTCAAAAAAGTGCAACCCAGTGACAAGGAAGCATCAAATAGGCAGCCTGCTTCAAAGCTTAGTTTCCCTTGGATGGGAGGTTGGTTCAGGCTAGTCCTCTCATACTTTCTCCCTCGATATTGGTAATGGGGAAATGAAGGTAATGGGGTCCTTTATATGCCCAGCTGTCCTTTGTCAACAACAATTTGTTGCTGTTTTTTTGTGTTGAATATATGCTATATGGTAATTTATGGACCTAATTATAGGTACCTAAAGCCAATTGCACATAACAGTCCATGCAGAATGCAGGCACCCTGTATATAGAATATGTACAGGGTGCTTGTATACAAAGGGACGCGGGTGGCGCTGCGGGTTAAACCACAGAGCCTAGGACTTGCCGATCAGAAGGTCGGCAGTTTGAAACCCCGCAACGGGGTAATCTTCCTTTGCTCGGTCCCTGCTCCTGCCAACCTAGCAGTTCGGAAGCACGTCAAAGTGCAAGTAGATAAATAGGTACCACTCTGGCGGGAAGGTAAACAGCGTTTCCGTGCACTGCTCTGGTTCGCCAGAAGCGGCTTAGTCATGTTGGCCATATGACCCAGAAGCTGTACGCCGGGTCCCTCACCCAATAAAGCAAGATGAGCGCAGCAACCCCAGAGTCGGCCACGACTGGACCTAATGGTCAGGGGTCCCTTTACCTTTTAAAGCCAATTGCACATAACAGTCCATGCAGAATGTAGGCACCCTGTATATAGAAATGAGCAAACCAGTGATATTTTAGGGAGCAGGCTAGCAGGCTTGCATCACAGGAGGCTTGCATCATTACTTACATCATAGGAGCCTACACAACACAAACACTGTTGCTGTATGTAGGTTTTATTTTATTTGTTTTTTATCTTATATTTTGGAAATGTATGTCCAGCTTTCTTTCCTTTAATTTTTTTGAGGGCCCCCAAGAGAGTGGGGCCCTAAGCTATATCTTGTTTAGCTTATACGTAAATCCAGCACTGTGTGTGCATGTTCTCATGCGAGGCACTTTAGTGAAGTTCAGTTTCTGGTGCACTTTGAAATGGGTTTCTATTGGTCACTTTTTTCATGTGGATTTTTTTTGTTTTGGGCATTTTTATGGAAAGCCTAGAGTATCAACATACTAAAGAAATGGATACACTGCATTTTGAATTAGCATTCTTGCCTATTCATAACCCTGATATACTGGGCAAACAAAGACCTCCATCCCCACTTGCTCAGGCAAGGACAGGTGTACTTGCTTTGTCTAGCCATGGAGGAGGAGGAGTTTGGATTTGATATCCCGCTTTATCACTACCCGAAGGAGTCTCAGTGGCTAACATTCTCCTTTCCCTGCCTCCCCCACAACAAACACTCTGTGAGGTGAGTGGGGCTGAGAGACTTCAGAGAAGTGTGACTAGCCCAAGGTCACCCAGCAGCTGCATGTGGAGGAGCAGAGACGCAAACCCAGTTCACCAGATTACAAAACCACCACTCTTAACCACTACACCATGCTAGCTGGTTAGTTAGTGGCCAGGGACCCCTGCAGGACAATTTTTGAGTCTTATTTATTTTTTAAGGATATTTTTTAGCCCACCCTTCATCATCATAATAGATCTCAGGTCAAGGTGCAGCGCACACATTAAAAATACACTGAATAAATGAAATCAGCTGAAAACAATCAAAAGTATAAATCAATGTAAGGGCACCTTGAAAGAACTCATTGAAATGAAAAATGCTGCTTAAAGGTACAAGGTGGCCTACTCACTCTCGGTCATACTCTAAAATACTCTAGATGCCTGAGCAGCAGGTGGGTCTTTACATGCTGCTGAAATGACAGAAGTGTCAGCAACCAAGTGTGTTTCCAAAGGGAGAGCATGCCACAAGCAAGGTCCCTCCTTTGTACAGAAGGCCCCTTTCTGTGTCATTGTATAGTGTGTGTCATCCCAGCAGTGTAAAAGAGCCTCGATCCATTTCTGGTCCCCTGTAGTTATGTTATCACTGGGGTGGGTACATTCAAGATGTATATCTGAATAAGATTCCACTTCAAAGTCTGTGAGGAGGGACCGCATCCAAATTCAAAGGCACGTCCAGCTTACTTTCAATGGGATGTGCGTTCCCCTTCTTCTCCACCTTGTCTATTGTATGCATCTGGGGGGTGAAGAGACTTGCTGGAACAATGCAGATGCCATCCCTCTTCTCTCTAATATCCATCCGCCTTGTGAACAGTTTCTTAGGTACAAAAAACAAACAAACCAGGAAATGGAAGTACATTTCATGGGGAGCTGATAATAGTATTACTTAATACAGATGTGTTGCTTTCAAGTGTTCAGAGCACTTCACATCCATTATTTAGTTGCAGTCCTTACAACAACCCTGTAAGATGACAGTGTTTATTATCTTCTATACTGCAGATAGGACTGAGGCAGAGAGAGAGAGCAGCTTGCCTATGGTTCATGGATGATGCAAAATTCAACCTCCTGCGTTGTACTTGGTGTCTCCTACCTGTTATTACTGTACAAAAGCATACTGCTCACAAGTAGGCTTAGCACTTCATAGATTGCAGTATAAGGTGATAGTAGCATTGACTTATTTCTCCAACTCTAGAAGTTTTGGACTACAGTTTGAACCATCTCTTATAATTAGCCACGCTGGTGGAGGCTGATGGGAGTTGTAGTCCAAAACATCCAGAGAGCATCACGTTGGCAAATACTGCTTTACACGGTTCTTATTAAGATTACAATGAATAATGCATGTGAAGCACTTTAAATATCTGAAAGTATTGTCCCAATGGTAAGCATTATTATAACATGTTTAATAATCCCATGCACACTTACCTGGGGGTAAGTTCCATTTAGCATGCTCAGAAATATCCTACATGGCTGCAAACATGTTTACTCAAGAGTAAGATCCATTGGACACAAGGGGACTAACCTCTGAGTAAACCCTGCTTTAAGTTGCTCTGCTCAACATGGTTTCAATGCTCAGTTTGTTATTTAAAGCATTTTAAGAATCCCACTCTTTGGCAAAAAGTGTCCCAGAACAACTTACTGATCAATAAAAAAGGCAGTCCCTGTCCTCAGGTTTATTATTTATTTTATTTATTAAAATTGTATAAAGTCCTTCATTTGAAAGTTACAAAAGGTTAAAGAGATTCAGCTGGGGGTGGGGATGAGAGCAAACTTCAGCATCAGTTTTTACAGTGGCCAGCTGGGATGGAAAGAGCTCCGGTAGCCTGATGGAATCGATGCTGTTGGCTGACAGATGAAGGAGAAAAACCATGAGCAGCTGGTCTCAGCAAAGCGGGAGGAGTAGACCAGCTTCCCTTTTCTCCCTCTGATGCATCATCATCATCATTCCTGAGTTTGTCAGCCACTTGTGATCTCCAAATGGGAGGAAAAGTGGGATAAAAGGTGGGCATCAGAGCATCTGCCAGCTTATTGGCTTCCTGGCTCTTGAGCTGGCCCTGGTTCTGACCAGATTTGGGCAGACTTGAAACTCTTGTAAATGACAAACATGTGAAGGTTGCAAGTTCACATCTGCATTAAGGTGTTTATACAGAGATCCTCGTATCTTTTCCTTCCCCCTTCTGCTTTTGTATTGTTAAGCTGAATATAATTCTTTAGGCCCACGATATAACTAGAGATCAGCTGACGGTGGAACTCCGAAACCCATTGAGTGCGCTTTTGGAATGAGGGCTTGGGATTCAGTCACTCCGATCACGGAAGGAAAACTAACATGATTGTTGACAACTTTATGCCAATGTGATTGACCTGCCCTAATAACACAATTGTTTCGTTTTGAGTACAGAGCTCTTTAGATTGGCTCAGAACCAAACAGCATACTGATTGGTTTATAATGGCTACACTTCCAGCAGATCATTTACGTATATTTATACTGTATCTTCAGATTTGGGGTACAGGAAGAGGATGTTGTTTACAATGTTTCTTAGGGCCAAAATGGATATTCCATGCAGCACTATTAAAAAAATAAAAAATAAAAATAGCCTGTGGAGGATTATTTAACCCTTCCAAAACGTTGTCTTAAAACTCAAAATCCCACCTCAAAGCTGCTGATCACCACCCAAAGAAAAAGATACAGCTGAATGCACCACATCCTCCCCTGCCCCCACACCACAAACAAGCAAAAGCAGCTTAGGGAGGGAGCATTTTCAAATAGAAAAGTATCTGGAAGGGAAAGGGTTAAGTAGCCCCTCCCCAGCTGCTCTACCATTGAAATCCTCAGCCTCCAGAGGCTGCTTTGCTGCCCAATAAAAATAAGAATCTGCTTATAAGTTGCCTTTCCTCATAGGAGCTCAAGACAGCATGCATTATGTTTTATGTATACAAAATGTACCTGTTGTATAAGTTGCCCTGCCTGTGCTGATTGGTGGTTATTGTTTCACCCATGAATCATAACGGAGAACAAAGAAATAAAATAATCGTAATTGCAATGAAACAAACAAAAACAGAATAGCAGTAATATCTAACATGTATCATACTACTGAGGAGGTAGAAAATTGACTCAAGTGACACAAGCTGCCATGGCAAATCCTTGTCACTGCAAATAAGGTCACTGTAATACACTGTTTGTTTCTTTATTTATATTTATTTAAAAATTTATATCCCACTTTTTGCCATGTAAGTCCCAAAGCTGCTGAGAATAAAATATACAATAAAACATTATTTATGTTTCCAAAATTTAAAAACCCCCGATAATTTAAAATCCTATCTATATAAATATATGTACGGTATTTACAAAATGGAGGGCATTTGAGAAACATTCAAGGTGCAAAGGCCCCCTGAAATAATATAGATATGATATGGTGTGTGTCTGTCTAACTTCATAAGTAAGGGAAAGGGACATTGTATGATTTTTAAAATACTATACAGTCCTTTGAGCTTCCTTCTGGGTTTTGTTTATAGTTCTGCACTTGTGTAATTTGCACATCAAAAAATTTAAGGAGAACTAACTGTGTGATCCTATCTATGTCTGCTTCAGTCAGAAGTAAGCTCCCCTGAGTTTAATGGGACATTCCCAAGTCTGAATGCTTAGGATTACAGAATTAAGTATTTATTCCAACTGTTCTGCTGGTGTTTCATGGCTAAGCTGTTTATTTTTAGCAGGCGACATGGGAAGAGGGGATTTAAGCAACCATTAAAAGTCCAGCTATGGCTCTATCTGTGCAAATTGATGCTGGCACAATGCTTGCTGAAGTTCATCTCCAAAGCCTTGTCCGTTCCCACCCTGCTAAGCCTGGCTGTATCTGAAGTCTCTTTAATAACAGTATACACCTGTTGATAACAGCAGTGAGTGGTTGTCAAAGTTCCCCTCTGCCTGTCCATAAAAATAGCTGTGATGGATAACTGGATTTCTCTGGTGGTAGGCTGGGGAATACTATGTAAAGCTTCACGCTGGCAGATCACTGGTACAAATACAAACCCAGCATAACTTGAGAGCTATTATGGCTGAGATGGGGATTTGTGATTCTTCTTATGAGTGCCTTGTGACCACTCCAAGGCCTAGCAGGATGGTCTAGGTTAACTCTTTTGGAAGAAAGATATTATTACAGAAATGCAGGTCCAAGTTAATAGCCAAGGGGACTAACATTAGACAGTGCCCTGAACGGCTGAGCAAAGCAACCAGGGACTGTACACACGACCTTTTATTTTAAAATCAATGGAGACTGAGTACTCCCCCCCCATGTAGTCCACACACACTCTAGATCTATTGCATATGTTTTACTCCTGAAAAGTGCTTCTTGAGAAACTGGTTACATTTCAAAAAGCAAAAGCTCATTGCAGATTGATTCTGATTTGCCCTGCAGAGTTATAAATAATTGTAATAAATATACAAACAAACAAATAAATGAGTAAATTCAATTCAATTCGATTTGATTTGATTTAGTGGTGGTCATTTTCTCTGTATTTCACAGTTTTATGATGTTTTAATTATTTTACCGCTCCACATCAAAATATGTTAATGAGATTATTATAATTATTATTAATTGCACTTATTAGTAGTTTTTCTTTACAAAAGTGACTTACAAAGTACAGTAGTACAAATATGAAAACCAAATCAGATTTTTAAAATAAAAAAACCACATTAATCCATATAAAAGGCAGGTTTAACGCATTCCACCCACTAAATATATACAACCTTCCAAATTAGGGCCAAAGGCAATTTATAAATACTTGTATAATGAAGTAAATATAATTCAGGGAGAAGGCAATGTTTTCTGGTTTAGACACATGGTGATCCTAACAAAGTTAATATAGTGGTAGCATTGTACTATGCTGTCAATCAGATTCAGCTGCATTATTACATCACTAAAGGCAAATGAAGTTAATTCCATCCAAGAGGCGATCATTCTGGAACAGCCAGAAAAAGAAACCATAAAGGGAGGAGATCTTCTTGATTTTTCTAACAATGTTCACTAAACACAGGGAGTACTTTTGGCTCAGCTGCACAAAGATCTACAATTCCCAGGACTTCCTGGCAGAGGGAATGACTATTAAACCAGTTTGGGCTAGTTGTGTGGATGAGCTCCATTTGGTTTTGCCTGCATGCGCTATTGTGACCAATCTTCCCCTTGACATAGATTACATTGTCTTTGTTCTTGCCATTACAACTTCCCATCAGATTAATCACACAGTTGATTTTGCACCATTCAACATTAAAAATATATATGTTAAATTAAGTCTTGTTTAACTTGCTTAATCTGGAGGTGATCCAACCAGTGAGCAGAGTCCCCATTAACTTCAAGGAGATTTAACAGCACAATATAAATATAGCTATACAAGGGGATTAATATGCATTAAACATCATCCTGATTATTACTTCTTGTTGGCTTTCCCTACTACTACCACTTATTCCTTTCCCAGTCAATTGAAAATGTCTTTGAATAGGGATAGAAGGCAGCACAGCAGAGGAATGGGAGGAGGAGTGAGGTTAAGAAGGGTCCTGTTAGATCAGACCAAAGGTCCAACACCCTGTTCTCCAGCTGGCCACTGGGATAACAGGAATCTGGATTAGATGTTCTTATCCACCTGCACTCATCTTAAATACTTAGCCTTCCACCTCATCCTAAGATTTTACTGTAGTTCCCTATCATGTTCTGCATCCATCCACTTCTAGCTTTTAACCATAGCTTTTAAAACTCTCCAGGGCCGCGGGTGGCCCTGTGGGTTAAACCACAGAGCCTAGGACTTGCCGATCAGAAGGTCGGCGGTTCGAATCCCCGCGAAGGGGTGAGCTCCCGTTGCTCGGTCCCTGCTCCTGCCAACCTAGCAGTTCGAAAGCACGTCAAAGTGCAAGTAGATAGAACTTCCGGAGGCGGCGCCAGCGATTGATGGCGGATTCCCTCGGTCAGAGGGAATAAGCCCCACGAAAAAAGGGTCGGATCCCGCTTCGGCGCAGCGGGGGACCCCTAAAAATCACAGGCGGGGGAAGCCTGTGAACCTGGGACCCAGCGGGCACATTTGGTGTTCCCCCAACCCGGCAAAAAGCCCAGAAACGGGCTTGAAATCGGAGCGGGGGAGAGCGCGGTGCTGTGGGCTGTCTGCTCGTTCGTGGAGTGAAGCCGCAAGCTGTCAATCGGAGAGCGCTGCCTTTCTTTCTTGAAATTCGGACTTGGAAAGCAACGATCCGTGAGTAGGATTTACTCAAATTGGAACTGTACAAATTAAATCTGAAATCAGGCTGAAAACGGAGGAGGTTTAAAAGGAAGTCAACCTCCTTCTATTGTAGATAGACTTAAAGCATTGAACTTGAAAACGGAAGCTTTTGGAAAGGACGCTTTTAGAGGACTTTAATCCAATCACTGAACCTGGACTTTTCCCTCTATAAATTGAGGGAAAATAGGGGGAGATCTTTGGAGGTGATTTCTTTATAGAGAGTGGAAAAGAAGAGATTAAACCATCACTCAATTTCCTGGGAAAGGACTCTCCAGATCCTAGGGGGGGGAAAAGGTACTGTCTTGTAATATATTTTGACAGCTAGTCCTGCATTGATTAAAAAGTCTGGATAAGATTTTGTGAATATATATCTCCTGGTCTTAAGCTGAAAAACTGTGATAGATTGATTCCCTGTTAAACAAACTAGGGGGACTTAAAAAGGAAATTAAAGTAACCAAGAACTTTTAGGACTGTTACAGTGTCCCCCTAGTGGAACCTGGAACTGTTGCAACTTATTACAACTGTAACTGTAGCAGGCTTGAGGAGTTCTCACACTATTTGGAAGGAAATTTCCACTGTACAATTCTAACTACGTGTCTGACCTTGAGAATTATCTAAGGAATGGCAGATAAAGAGAAGACGGAGGCTTCGACTACAAGATCGGGGAGGAATATTCGCATAGAAGAAGGATTACAAAGGAGAGCTTCGGTCTCAGGCCCTTCTGGAACCTCAACAACAGCCTCATCGGCACAATCAAAGGTAAAAGCTCGACAAGTGAAGAAGCCTTTGCTCAAGTTTTGGCCAAAGTTAATGAATCTTTGAGTAAAATAAGTCAACAAGTAGCAGAGGCTTGTGAGAAGATTGATCAAAATACAGCAAGTATAAATAATTTGGGCCAAAAAGTAAATACCAACACTGAGACTATTCAGAAATTATTAGAGGAATCGGCCGCAACTCGCCAGATTGCTGAAGAGGCTAAAGAAATTGCTACAACTGGCGACTTCCGGGTTAGCGCCATCGCCGAATGGCGGACTCCCTCCGAGCTCCGGAGGGAGTCTGCTCGGCAGGGGCTGGGTCCTACCGCGCCGGCGACGCGGGGACCCTTAAAAACCACGGGCACGGAGTCCGTGGACTTGGGTGACGCGGCTTGCACCATTAGCGCCCTCCCGACTCGTGAAGGTGCCTTTTAAAGGCTTCGGATCGGGTGCCGGGAGTGGCGTGGTGCTTTGAGTCCACTGCTTTCCTGCCGAGCGCAGCCGCATGCCATTCGACGGAGAGCGCTGACTTCTTCTATTGAAAATTTGGACCATTAACAACAACCCGTGAGTAATTGGGAAACCGGGTTCAAAATTTTGGTTTTGGCACGTGCGGGGCGCTTTAAAAAGGAAGTCAGTCCCCCTATTGTAAGCATTCCAAAACAAGGACTGGGTAACCAAGGTCCAAAGGGAAGTATGTCTCTGATAAAAATCATTAATTTCACGATGGGAAATTATAAGAAATGTGCTGGAGGAGAAGAGTGGAGGGTGAGAAGAAAAATGCAACCCCCTGGGAACCGGGGCGATCCGTGGAGCCTGGTGAAGAGAGACGGAGACTTTGACAGCTGTCAAAGTGGCTGTCAAAGCTGGAGAATATAAAGAGGACTTTATGAGGACCTTGCTGGTTAATTTTGTTACAATTTGCTATAATATGGATATAAACTGTTGGAAAATAAGCAACAATTTGACTTTTGG